TATTATTATAAATTATTATTATATTATATTTTCGACTACCCAATATATAGCATTGTACATATGTATATGCATATGCTGCCACCATTTTCAATTCACATATTTGCTGTTCCGATAGAATTTCTGATTCGATGTTGGTGTAACAAAAATATTAGCTGGATTTAAGATGTGAGTGTATATGCAAACATGCAACCTATCCTGCAATGCATTGTTAAAAAAATAATTGTGTGTATAATGTGCATGGATCAACGGATAAACGTAATCTGCAGCAGGCTCGACCTTAATGCTCACATACATATATATATGTATTTATATCACTGTATATGTATGATAATGTGTACATATATACCCTCGATTGCGCGGGAAAGTCTATTTACATTTATATAAAGACCTTCGTGTGTGCCTGTATGTGTGTGTATGTTTAGTATTTTATAGGCATATCCCTTATTTGAGCGCCTGTGTTAATAAACACATTTAAAGGCGTAAATAGTGGATGTGTTTCGTTTCCGTGTGTTCATTATGAGGTGAGGCGTAAATTTAGCGGTAAACAAGCGCTGATCTGCCATTGACATTAATCCAATGGTGTATCATGCGGATTTAGTTGAAATCCCTGCCGGCTCAGTTGAAACCCCGGTATTTAGCAATAATAACACGTATAATAGCTGAAATATTAACTGAATTAAGCATGATTGTATCTTTGATATTTAGTTACCCTGGACTTACATAACTAATCGTGTGCGCTGCGAACAAATTACTTGCGCTGCTTTATGTAAACCAGTTTGGGTATCTACGGCATGAAAAATTAGCAATARATCAGCATTGTTTCCCTTATTCGATTTGATGTGGATTGGGGCTTAATTTTGTGTACGTACATTGAAGCTGATATTAGTAAAGCTGTATAAATATTAGATATTTTGAGGGCTGTTAAAAAATATTAGTCAATTCTTTTATTGAAAATAAAAACAAAAAAACGTATTTTTTATGGCATACAAGAGTATTAAAATACATTATTCCAATTTTGATCGCTAACAATGCCTTGGATCAGTGCGAAATTCCATGAAAATACTTCGACGAATAAAATAGTTTTCATACAAGGAATTGAGTTTGATCGATCAGTTGTATGACAGCTACATACGTGCTATGGTCTTTGGACCGATCGTAACAAAATCTCTGGAGGTTATCGCAATGCCGTGCCAAACTTCTTCAAGATACCTCACCAAATAAAAAAGTTTTCCATGGAAACACTTGTACAAAATTTCAGACCAATGTCTCGAAAACTGTGAGATTTCTTCGCGTATTTTCAGACAGATGCTGATTACTTATATACTATATATACTTAAAGGGTCAAGGGTATGACATTCATCCATACAATTGTATATGTAATTCTTTTTGCTACGATAACCAGTCCAATTTTTGTGTAAGTTCTCAGTTATCAAATTATTTTCCTTAACATTTTTTTGGAAAGCAAAATATTTATAACAAACTTCAAAATATTTCTGGAGAGCAATCGTGATTTAATTCCAGAAGGCCAAGTCAGAATTGCCGAAGGTTGCCGTAAATAAATCTAATAATAATTTCAATGCTCTTCATTGGAGGTTTGCTGTCATTGTATATCAAATAATTCATAATCCCAATACAGCAACTATCATATACTTTTATAAATACAATTATTAATATATGACTCGTAATAAACAAACAAAACGGGTTTACATTACTCATTTCAATTATAAAAAATATCTTCAGGCACAAATTTGCATTTGATATATTGAAAAATCAAGTACATATTGCCGTGCATAATGAAACTAAGAGCATCCAAATGCCTTTTCAACTTAATTAATTAGCACGCAAATACATTATTCAAAACGGAGGAAGATGCATACCTTTGTAAATATATTCTCGGTATCTACATTTTCGGGCGTGGTTGGGTTGATTAAAAAATCGGTTTATTTATATACATACATATACATAAGTATAAGCATAGGAGCGTTGGTATACTGCCATAAGTACAGATAAACATGATATTGGAATGCATCTACAAATTGCCATGGCGACGCTACCCGTTCAGCTTATTAAATATGTAAATGTACACAAACAACAACAAATTAATGATGTACAAAAATGAGGAATAAACTTTGCCAAGGTAAATACCTCTGATGGCGAGGTAAAGTTAAATCGCCAAACAATATTTTATTAATAAGCACTGGAAAATATATTCTTAATTTTGTTTCAATTTGCACAGATGGCATCTAATACAAAATTTCTTAGAGCATAGAAAAAATTATTTTCTGGCAAAGTAGCTGTTGGAAGTATAAGTAAGTTAGAAGATATGTATGTACATATACATCTTAATTTTTAGAATTTAACATTGAATTTGGAAAACAAAGCTTAGACGTGTGTTCATATATATGACCTAAGAATTTAGTCATCCATTTTTAGCAATAAGCAAACCTGCATGCTKAATTTCACAACGTATTATTTCCATTGAAAATTTGAATACTTTCATAGATATTTTAACTTATGTAAGTAACAGTTATAAATTTCTTTAAGAAAGTTAAGGCTATCTGATTCAGAATTTCCAGTGTCCTCCTTCAAATGATGTATATTTCATGTGCCCACAAGTAATATTGCGAATTTCTGCCACGCCAATAATCCACATACGTTTGCCATCTGCACGAATGTTTTGATATCAATGCCGACTAACTTTCCTTATCGGTTGAGAATCAAGGGGGCGAAACGTTCAACTTSGGCGGATTCAACGCTTAATATTGTTTATGTATTGCCAAAAAACATAAAAGCATTAATTTAGTCATTATCTACTTAAGACGTGTGGAGCGTATTCCAGATCCGAGCTGGATATCTTGTGTCGCAAGAAATTTCAGCGCAGGACCGAGAGGTGCGAACGAGATAAAGTATATTATTGAAATATCTGCATGTACAGCTATACATATATATACGAATGTGTTCTTTCAGTTTGAATAAATAACATCCGAAATCGCAATGAGCTGAAGAGAATATGCATGTACATATGAATGTACCCTGCCATTTAGCAATCTTAAGTATTGTTTTGCTATTGTTGTCTTGCGAAAGATAATGGTGCGAAGAGCGAACGTCGTTCATATAAATATATAAAGATACATTTGTATCTGTAAATGCCGTAAAGAAGCGTTGGTGGCGCCAATACACATCAATTTATAACAAGCATATATACAACAGCATAGATACTTACGTGCCGTAATTTATTTCCACGCAGTCATTTTCAAAGGCTTTGTACTTGTATCTGTTCAGCCGAGCGCATTGGACCGCCCATTATGTGCAACGATGCTCCCATGAGAGTGACGTGATTGACAATTTGGTTCGAGGTAAAGTTATCTCACAGATATCACTGTAGAATCTTCATATTAAATACTCGTTGGAGTCAGTGAGCATTTTACTGTGAATGTAAGGCTGTTTGTACTCTTAAGGAATTACTTGAAAGGAATATACATACATATGCTTGCATAGCTGTTTGCTCGAGTAGGCGTAACCTGCCAAAGCAACCCCAAATAATGTCATGCAAGTCTCAAATGCGCTTATGAACATTTGACAGCTGTCGCAAGTGAACCAGTGATGTAGATTACACATTTAGATTGGATCAAAAGTAACATAACCAACGGGAATGGAGTTAACGCAATGCAGTGTGGTTTAGTTAGACAATAATATTTTTAATGGAACGATCGCAATTATTATGTAAGAAATAATCGTAGGATTTCAAATAATCTAAAATCTGTAATTTTCTGTTGCAAGCCGAAGGTTGYACTATTCTTTCAAGAAACCACCTAACCAAAGCCATTTTTTCAAGAATATTTGAAAAAAATTCAAAACAATTCTTTATTAAGCTTCATATAATTATAATATTAAAAACTCCTTTCCCAAACCTCGTGCGCTGAAGGATCCACCATAAATTTGGTTAGAAAAACAATTAATCAGAAATTATGCCTCATTTATAAATTTCACATCACTGTTGCCACTGTTGCAATAGCATAATAGTCCCTTTTGTAAGAGGGAAAGATAATAACYACCCCTATTTCTTGTTTCCGTGACGTTCTCTTCAGAGAGTGGCAACAATTTTCCAATATGGTAGCTAACGGATGGGTGTGTCTTAGCGGATTTACTCTCTCTGGTCGAATAAAACAACAACATCGAGCTACTCTGATTGGTTGCAATGATTGGCTTTGCTTAACCGAATGTCAGAAATACTGTGCTCAACTGGTYTTGCTTGGAGGATGGCAATATAAAGATGTCGTCCGGTATTAGAAGCCGTTTGACAGGTTTAACATATGAATGAAAGCAGGCGCTTTTATGGTGGTGCGTATGTATTGATGGTTGGCTGCGAGATGCCAGTGTTTGTAACGCCGTCAAAGAACAGATAAAACAGTTTCGAATTTCGAGTCAGAAGGGTTGGTTGACTGAAGATATCACGCGCAGTTTTATGGATTTAATTCAACATTCTTTCATTTTCTAAATTGAAATGCGCGTGTATGTAGACGTTGRTCAGTGCTCAATCAGTGAATTAGCTGTGTCGTTTTATTGAGCGCGGAAGTGCGTGTGCTAATAAAGTGTAAGAGATTACCTGATTAGGAGATTAGACCAATGCTGATTATTAAATGAAAAAAGTGAATAATTACAACAAAATCAAAAATACCTCAGCTTTTGCTGGGAAAGAGTTTTAAAATATAGAAACTGACTCAATAAATAAGTAGTATACCGATTTTCAGTGTTCAAGTACAAATAAAAACCGCCAAAATTCTGTCCTCATTGTGGAATGCGCCCACCCAGCTGGTCGGTGGATTGGATTCAAAAGGCGCCAAGCATCCAAAATTCAAAATAACAGTGGTCAGCACACCGAGTCCATCACCGACGTCGCCTCCACCAACACCTCCTCCATTGTCGTTATCGTTGCCGTTGACATCACATAACGCAACCATTGCCATTAGTAACTCAAGTTTGCTTCCTAATAACAACAGCGATATGGTTGAGACGACCACTCCGCCCAGTGGAGTTGCTGTGAAGCGTTATGCCGTCGGCATAATTGGTTCGGGGAGTCCGCTCAGCGAGCACCAGCTTCACCATCAACATCATCACCAGCAGCAGCAACAACAACAACATCAGTTGCAGCAACAATTTCAACAACAGCCATCTAACTTACAACATATGAGTCACAGTCGTCAAGGTTCGCGCTCTCCACCGTCAAGCACGCCAAATGCCGCATATTTGACCACAGCCATGCTTTTAAACTCGCAACAATGCGGTTACTTGGGACAACGATTGCAATCGGTATTGCAACAACAACAACAAAATCAGTTGCAGCAACATCAACATCAACAGCATCAGCAATCGCAATCACAAACTCCCTCTTCCGACGATGGATCACAATCAGGCGCCACCATCATTGACGAAGAGCGACCACACAGACCTGCAGCAGGCACGGCGGCGGCAGCAGCGGCTTCACTCTTTACTATTGACAGTATTTTAGGTGGTTCAAGATCTACAGTTAATAGTAATATTATTAACAACAGTAACAACAAAACCGCCAATAGTCATATAGTTGTCGGTGGCACAAAACGTTCCGATTCCCCCGCCTCACCTAGTTCTAACTCCAGTTCAGCCGCAACAAGTCCTATACGACCGCAAAGGGTTCCTGCCATGTTGCAGCATCCCGGCTTGCATTTAGGTCATTTAGCTGCAGCGGCAGCAAGCGGATTCGCCGCATCTCCATCCGATTTTTTAGGTGAGTACATAGCGGAGATTTATATTTACTAACTTTATGTTCAGAAATGTATAATCTCATTTGTATTTCGGTAATTTGTTATATACTGATGAAAAAAAACATATGTAGATGAAGAGAAGAAGGAGAAGAAATAATTCTATGAAAGTGCAATTAATTTTACGAACATTRTAGTAGATATTGACTATTAACTGTAAGATATGACGCTTTACAAAATATTTTTGTTAACAATTTAAAYTTTAAGAAACAATATATCGATTTTTTTTTTGATTACATCACTTTTATGAAGAAATTCRAATATTAGTCTATATTATGTTGGGCTTCTTGGCCAATTTTATATGTAGTGGTAGTACAATTCTTGCAAATTTTATTGCCCCCGAGAAATCTCCTAATCCAGCACAGAATATATTGCTGCAAGAGACAAAATGTATATTTAAGTACGATTGTAAATATGAAAACGCTAGACACATAAAAAGCTTTGGGTCTCAGCTCCCTCCTATAGCCTGAGTAATGCGGTGATCAATTTACTACGCGTTCAAGTTAGAAGGCATATTTAAATATTCCTTTTAACAGACAACTCTTAAGTAACGCGCTTATAAATATGCTCCCCCCGCTACCTCTCATTCACTCAATGATTTCGTGCCGCACAGGGCAAATAAGGGGGAGGAAAGTGTGAGCTTATAATATATTACGGCATTTGCTCTGGTTTACGGTATTTTTACAGCAACACTTGTACAGGTATTAGCGTACCTATGCAACATAATTCGAAACCTCTCCCACCCGCTTTGCATTCGCACTGAAAAGGATTTAAGGACTGAGTTTATAACACGTAAATATGCAATGAACCGCAAAAGATGATTTCAACGATTTTCTATGGGTGAGAKGGAATGCTTCTGGTTAGCAGATTCAGGTGGAATCGCTGAAGTTTAAAAAAAAGCATTGCGAGTTATATTATTGGCTCTTAAAAAGGAATGAATTTATGACGATGCCAMAAATCGTTTTGCATGCTGCCACGAAGAAAGCGGCAGGTATTACAGTTATCCAGTCAAGGACTTACGCTTACTCAGGCGAAAGAAGGCGTTGGATTTCACTTACATTTCAAATACAAAGTATGCTTAAAACGGCTTACAATTTAAACCAACGCCAAATTATTCAAACGTTAAAAGTGTATGCATTTTCCATTCAGATTTATATAAACGAATAAAAAAGATTTTTAAATGTGCGCACAAATTAAATTGAAAAAAGTTTAGCGGAAAAAATGTGTACATAAATATGAATGCACTTATGGCGATGCTTTTTCGTCGATTCTTTATCCTGCAACTTTTGTCGAAAAATATCATGTTACATCGACGGTAGCATAAAAATCTCCATTTTTGTATATTTAAAGTTTCTTCAGTGCTCAAATTTCCTATGCCAGCTGATTTTTGCAACGCATATTTTAATTTGACTAACCATACCGTATTCATATGCTTTCATGTAATATATTTTTCGTGCTTTCTCCTTGACTCTTCCGCAGTTGCGTACCCGAACTTCTATCCGAATTACATGCACGCCGCCGCGGTCGCTCATGTGGCTGCAGCGCAAATGCAGGCACATGTCAGCGGTCACGGTGCCGCGGCGGCCGCATTGGCAGCGCACACACATCCCCACCATGCGCATCACTTGCACCATCCGCATCACCCGCATCATCATGTGGCGCATCATTTGGGTCATGGGCCGCCCCCGAAGCGAAAGCGCCGTCATCGCACAATTTTCACCGAGGAGCAATTGGAGCAGCTAGAGGCGACTTTCGAYAAGACACACTATCCCGATGTGGTATTACGTGAGCAGTTGGCGCTGAAAGTGGATCTTAAAGAGGAGCGCGTGGAGGTGAGTTTCAAACTTCGGCATGCTCTATATTCATATTTCCATCTATAGTTTGTATACGAGTATAGTTATGTAATCGTACACTTTACTGATAAAAGCGTATATTTATTTTTAAGAAATTTTTTGCTTACGAAAACATAACGAAATAACCAAATTTTATAAAAATTAATGCCTTTCCCCGCTGCTAACTCTACTCAATACAGAAATTGCTGAGTTTGAGTTTTGACACCAAGTTTTAAACTAGCGTATATTTCAAAAAGTTTTTCTTGTTTTAGTTTACTACGAATTATTATTTTTTCCWTGTAGAGCCYAATTGGTGGATTAATACATTAAGATTTTGTCCTTGTTGGCTTTCTTTGAGTGTATTAGACGTCAAGTCAGAACCAAAGTACTTAGTGTGGTTATGATTGTTTTCAAATGATCTTCTTTAATGCTCTTAAAAGAAAMTTACACATGCTCAATGTCACACCGCGTCCACAAAGAGTTAGATCTACACATAAAGTACTTATTAGCACTTTTAGTATTTTGCACCTGAAGTGATCGCTTAAAAATGTCTCCTCTTATACGTGAAAAAAGAATCGGAATTGCTTTGAATTCATAATATTCAAAAAATTTCTAAACTGGCAATTATTTGTAAGCTTACATTTCCAAATGAGATGGCGATATGTATGTTAGAAAGCACTTCCCTTTGAAAGGTTTGTCTGAATCCCCTCATTTAAATGCAAGGAAATAATTTCCGCCGAGGTTTGCTGATTTTTCGCCGCGAAACCAATTGAGTGCAGTCATTTGAGAAAATCACTCTGTTTATTTAGTTGTTCGCTTTAATTGAGAGGCTTCCGACCACGACAACAATTACAATAAAAACAATAATAAGAATAACAATGGCAAATAGCATGCCACAAAGGAGTCGACAGACGCCAAACGTTCACAGGCATACACATACATTGCATATACATACATATACGCGTATGTATATGTGCATAAATCTGCTCTCGAAATGTGGGAGTATGTGGGGGTAGGACGWGGCACATGGTAAAATGAAAATTATCATTTYACTTAATTTCAATAATGTCGGGATTGTTGGACGTGGCGTAATTTACAGAGATCGCATTTTGATTTGCAATGTAAACAAAGTCGTTTGCCGGCTGTTGGACATGGGACCTGGCAGATGGAGTGCTGAGGATGCACAGCATAACCGTCACACACATACGCGCAAACAAGCACCKKCGTGCACCCGTACGCCCGCTCTTAAATGCATRCTAATACTGGCGAAAACAAGCTGCGCGGAACACAAAAGTTGCCAAGCAGTCACACAGCGGCGGATAAGTCTGAGAGTGAATTGCGTGTGTAAGATGCGTTAAAAGCGAAAACCGACAGTAATGCCAACAACAACATCATCTTGATACGAACAAGCAAAGTAGCAAAAATTATACCCGCGGGGATAGCTTAACGCCGAGGCAGAACAGGCCATGCGGCTTGCAGGGCGTTCAACCACCATTGGATGATGTGTTTATTTTAAAACCAAAACCGTAAAAATGTATGCAAACCTTCGGAGTTTTTGCTGTGAGCGTTGTTGTTATTATGCTCATTGTTACTCACCGCCAATTGTTGTTGTTATTTGAAGAAAATCCCACAAATGGATTTGAAATACAAATGAACGTGCAACACTCAACGTTTAGCCGTGTTGTTGTTTTGCTATTTGATAGATCCATTAATATAACGATTTGTCAACAAATTAACAAACATGGGTCGACGAGTTGACAATTCAATTTGTATTATATAACATTAGATACTTGGTAAGTTAATAACACTGCTGTGTGTGTGCGTGTGTACGCAGTAATACACAACTACATATTTGTATTTGTTGGTTGTGTGTTTAAATGGCATTTAAACACCATACGTTTTAACACCGATCATATTTTGTGCGGGGTTCGCGGAGGGTTGTGACGCCGGCGTAAGCTCAGCGCTGCATTTGTAGGGATTTGCGCACAGATTGTAAGCTTCGTTAACAACTAGTTAATGTTAAGCAGTTGCATGATGCCTCAACTTCACACACGCACACATTGAAACGCATACAATCGCATAAGCACTGTCGGTGAAAGGGTTTTGTGTGTGCATTTGTTTGGCTTGCACATTCGACTAACTTTTGCTCACACTGTTAAACAGCATGCCAGCACAGCATTGGGGTGAGGGWGGGAGTTTCCTTGACTTCGGTTGGCGTGTCAACACGTTTGTGGACATTTGTGCAGTAATTAGGCTTATTACCTTGAGTGTGGATAGATTGTGCCAGTRTTAGTTGCTTTGTTGTGTGTGTTGTTTATCTAATAGTAATCAGCATATCTACTCATATCTTGATGAGCACACATACACACACATACATATATATAARTACATGTGTATGCATAGAATATGGTATTTAAGGATATGCTTAAGTAGACGCCAAAAGGCATTTTATCACTTTCAATTTGTTTTGTAAATTTTGATAGTGGGCGAGTAGTGAGGGTGTGCAGGCAACGGGTGTGGCCCGGAAATCTGTCAAGTGCGAAAGTAATGCCGCCGTTTAATGTTATTTGACCGCAGGCTAAGAGCTTTCGCATTAGCATTTACGGTGCCAGCTTTGTCACTTCGATTCCTTGCTTTCAGCCTTGTATAAGCAGCGGAGTGGGAGAGCGCACCAAAGTGGGTCGTTGTTTAGTGAATGTGGCGTCGTGATGAGAACTAGTGATGCGAATGAGATCAAAGTTAATTTAGATGGTGATTACGTAAAACTGGGAAATTCAGAACTATTTTATATTTYCAGTGATGGCTTAATTTCGCAAAATGTTTCAAGTCTTTGTAGATTACTTTGTCACGCTTCTACTCCTAATTATATACATATTATATTCGAATTCATGTCAGCAACTTAGTTGGTGGTTTTTATTATTTCTCTCTCAATTAGAAACAAAGGTTCCTAGAAYTTTTATATTTTTTTGATATACTATATTCTACTTATGTTATAATAGAAATACAACATCGAAGCATTTTTATGACAACAAAAAGGTATGCGAACTGCTTTTACTTATAAAATATGCGTATGTTTGTACGTACAAATGTATAGTTGTAGAAGCAGAAGAGAAACCATGAAGCTAAATGACTTGGCATTTTCTCACAGTCAATCTTCAAGTGTTAGCTACCGTTTGACTCTTAGCGCTGTCGAAGGGCTGCACAATACCACTAATCTCACAACTGCATTGTTTGCTTTGATCTTCTCGTTTGTGCTCTCTCATACATACATATACATATGTGCTTAAGTACGAGTACGCAAATGCACAGTCTTATGAGTGATCGTGAAGAAATCTTATTTAAATGAAAATAAATCATTTAACTGCTGCAAATTGATATTTCTCTTCTGCCCATTGCCTTTTTTTAAATTTTTGTTGTTTTATTTTTTTTAATTATTATAGATGATTTTAGATATTATCTCAAATTGAACTAATATTTGATCAGTTTGAGCCCACACAGTAGCACCAATATTTACAACATTTTTCACCTCCATCACTATTCATTTATTTATATGTGTATGAGGCTATCAACACACATACATACATACACATACATATATGCAATAGGTATTTCGGTATTGAGTATTTAGGCGTAGTTAAATATTTTTGTTTGTCAATGCGAAAGGCATTCCGATTGTCGAGGCTCGTTGGCTGAGAACAAATTGTGTTCACATTCACTCTTTCACTTTTTTCCAAAGTCAAATATTTGCAAAGCGCTTCGGTTCGGCACAAACGAGCATGGAGCAGTTATAACAATAATTCGACGGTTTTTTTATGTTTTCAAATCAACATTCAAATCACGCCAAACACTTGAGCGACAGGATTAGTTGAATTTGAATTCTTATGCTTGATTGCCGACCGATGACTTTTGGTTTTCACTTGTCTCTGGTCTTTTCGATTTTCCGTGGGTGGCCACAGTGGAGCTGACACGTAAATTATGTATGTGTGTGTACGCTGGCTTTTTAATATTTGCTAATAAATCTCAATTATGGTATAATTGACTCAAATCAAAAATATTTTCGAAAATTGTATCTCGAACGACGAATTTGTCTACCGTGCAAAGCAAAGTAATCTCTTCATTACAAAAGAATCAACCAACGCTAATAAGTACACTTACGCTCACACGTACGCACATACAAATATACATACATACATCTATGGGAATATGTACACTCCAAAACCTGCAGCAATGCGATTAATTAACATATTAAAGAAAATGAAGTTTTATGAAGGTGTTCGCACAGACCTGTAGTGATATATTAACTCAATGCCGTATATATACACACATATATGAAATATATGAATATGATATAAATGGAAAATATGAAAAAAATGTACAAAGCTCCACAGCTCCTATACATTCGTTTAAGCATTTGTATGTGTGTATGCATGAACGCGTAAATTACAGTAGCTCGTACTTTAGGTCTTTCGAAGCTCTTGAAATAATTGCTTATACAAGTACTCCAAATCATTTATAAACGCATAAACGCACACATACAATCCTGAATGCACTTGTATTGAGTGAAGTCAGTCAGCCTATGTGTGACTGCCGTTGCTACTGTTTAGCATAATTTTACTCAAACAAAAGTGTTGCCACTTGAGTCGAACAGCAACGAAAGAATCGGCCACGGTGCAACAACAACAACAGAGGTGTTTCAACCGTCCTTCCATGCATGAGGCAGCGCGGTGCGTGGCCAACGCTCGGGCAGGAGCTGCCAGCGGCACGAACGCTGATTACACATGTCGCGACTAGTGTGTGTAAAAAAGATTTGTGCGGCTGTATGCTGATTGGGGCCTAGGCAGTAGTGACACAATGCGCCTTGGAATTGACATAAGTGGCAATAATTATTGAAAATCTCCCGTTTAAGTATGCAATGGTACAAATGGTTGGAGCAATGCACAACTACACTGATAGGTAACTTACTGACAAAAGGGGTACATTTCCAYACATACATATGTATA